TTGGCGCGTGTCTGATTCGAAAGATTCGTATCGGAAATCTCGAAAGAATCTCTCTGTATAAAGTTGGTGAATAAGGCCGAGACGCCGGCCGGTACGCGGGCGTGCAGACGAGCAAGGATTCTCGTGCCATGCGCACGTCTGTCTGTCGGTGTTCTCTCTCTCCAAAGACGCGTCTCCGTAGAAGAGGGAGGAAGGACGTGGTGGCGGGCGTCGTAATTGAAAGAGGACACATTCAAGCCCGAAGAAGATGGAACTAACGGAGAGAGAGACAAAACGCGCAGCATCTCCTGCAGGATTCGTCGCTTCTCGAGAGTGAGCGAGGAGAGCGAGTAAAGCCAGAGGAAGAGAACGGCTGAACACGCCGTTGGAAGGAACGAAGAGGGAGGACGAAAGCCAGGAGGGGCAAGGAGTTCTCAAATTTGGTTGGCTGTCGCTTTCCACCGTTTTGTCGTGCGTGCCTATCCCTCTTCAGGCGAGAATCGGAGAAGATCGACTGTAGTCGAAGGTGGTGGGGTTGGCGCGCAGTCCCCCCCGTAGAGGGACAAGAGTAAGCAAGCGAAAGAGAAAAAGACAGAAAGACAGACTCGTGTTTCGGCCAAGTATTTGGACGAGACAGGAGGGAGAAGTTTAAGCGAGAGAAGAGAAAAGGAAGGAAGAAAGAGAGAGAGAGAGAGAGAGAGAAGCATAAAGGAGTGAGAGTTCTTCCAGCGAAGGGAGCGTGATGGAGCGATGGAGCCTTCGTGAGAGAAAGAGAAAATTTTAACGTTAGACGAAGAGAGACACGATTCGCCGGTGTGTTGAAAGAGAAGGGAGAAAGACGTTCGAGAGAACGACGGAGCGAGTGGAAGAGAGATCGTTGTAGAGAACGAGGGGGGAACGCGCTGTGGTCCGAGAGAGAAAGGCAGAATTCGAAGAGTCGGCAAGTGACGAAGAGGGGGTGGCGAAGGAAGCAGTGTGGGGCGAAACACGATGAGGGAGGGGTGAGGGGAGGAGAATGGTGCCTTGGCGCGAGCTCGAGGTCTGGAAACTACGGAATTTCTACCGGCAGAATAGTCCCGGCGTTCGTACGATACGGTTCTACGATAGTAGTGAGCAAGTGTAAATCGAATGAGAGTGAGAGACAGAGAACAAGAGAAAAAAGAGAAAAGAGAGATAGAGTATGAGAAGGGGAGGCCGGACGGAGGGGTGACGCAAAGCTGAGGTGGTTGCGTCTCATTGTATTCGCGGCTTCAGCTTCTATCGTTCTCTCTCGCAGTACTGGAATACTCCGGAATACGCGACGTCAAGTGATCACTTTTGAGACGCCCGCGATCAATCGTGAACAGAGACTCTGAGTGAGCTACGAAAAATAGACATCGCAGTGAACAGTAGTGCAAAGTTAACCGCGCTCGTGACAATTTTCGAGATAAAGATCCTCGGGGATTTAAGACGCGTTTCTCTCCGGGATTCTTCTTTCGGAAGCGCGTGACTGTCTCGCCGAACGGGAGTGACCTTGCTCCGAAACGAGCAATGCAGATACGAGAGCCGCTGGCGTGCCGCTCAACATGTAAATCATGAGCGATACGCGCGTTTACTTTTGTTTTGTTTCGTTTGTCCCGGCGCGCGCGCCGGCATAGTTCGAATCTCGTTATCGAAAGCGTTCCCGGCACCGCGGTGGGAGCTAGCGAGTGATACCGTCCCCGCTGTCGTCGTCATCGTCGTCGACACGTCGTCCAGCCGAGGCCGACGATGCCGCACGCAGTGATCGCGATTTCCCGAGCGACATTGAGTTGGATATTCGCGTCTGGAATCAGTACGATCATATGATAAATGTAGAACACGCTGTATCCCCGTTTTCTTTTTGTTTTCTCCTTCCTTCTCTCTTTTTTATTTGATCCCTTCTCTCACTTACCCCCACCTGTCACCACTGGCTCAGCTGTCGACCAAATCACTAGGCATATTGTTTCACCCCCGCCGAGACTGAACCAACACATGTGACTTATCTCATGGTGTCGTTTCGTGCTACCACCGTCGTCGTGTCCTTATGATATCTCGCGTGGCTTTACCGTGTCACGGGACAAGGGCAATTCAGGAGGTGATGAGGTGAAACAATCGAAAACGGGCGTGTGGCAGGTACTCATGTTTTCGTCCGTTTTCCTTCTGTTCGTGTTGTGTACAAGCTACTGTTTGATCGTGTGTATTACGCGTGCGGGTAAACGACGATTGAAGCGCGTGACTTGACGGCCAAGAGACGGAGGGAGAGGACAATATGAGTGAAATGACGAGTGCCGTCGAAACGCAACAGCAGCAGTACGTAGGCAGTAGCTCGAATGCGGAGTATCATTGCAAGGATTGCCGTCTCACCTTGGATAGCGAGAAGAGTCTGGAAGTGCATCTGCGCTATCACCACGAAAATTTGTTAAAGTGGGGCAATAAGACACAGCAGGAGGAAAGCAATAATAATAACAAGACTGGTAATCATAATAGCCACGTGAGCGCCAACTCGGACAGCGTGCCGGCGGACTCGAGCGAGCCATCATCAATGTCGCCCTCTCAGGATCCAACATCATCGCAACAACAAGCACAACAACAGCAGCAACAATCACAACAACAACAACAACCACAACAACAACCACAGCCTGCCATACATACAGTTCTATGTCCGCCATACGATCAATTTCGATCAATGTATAACGACAGCAGCTACATGCAGAATTACGTGCAGAACGATCAGACATACATCATGTCTCATACCTATTCGCCATCACAGGAAGACGGTCAGAGTAACGGCGGGCGCGACGGTTATCCGCGCTATAACCCGTATCAGCAATTGTTTCCTTCGGATCGCGGGACTTCTAACTCTACCAGCCCGCAAAGCCCGCCTTTTCAATGCGACAAGTGCGGCGTTGTTTATGAGGACGCGAATCAATTAGGCGAGCACATGAGAACGAGTCATTTAAACTCGCCTACTGCGTATCCATCTGCGCCTCAGTATCAGCAGCTGGGTAACAGTCCTCAGCAGCAGGGCCAGCAGTTGCATCCGTCGCCGCCTCTCTCGAATCAACCACAAGCCGGCTACGATTACAACGGACAGACGATCAAATCCGAGATGAAGCAGGAACAGCCCGAGGAGCAAGCTGAGATTCTTGACTTGGATTCTCATAAAGTGCAAACGCACAGATACGAGGAGGAGATCATGAGGTTGCAGCAGCAGCAGCAACACCAGCACCAGCATCAGCAACACCAAGGACTTCAAATGCAGATGCATCATCAACAGGTGATGCAACAGCAGTCGCTTCCGGTGAGTTCTATGTTAAATTGGCCACCTATTCAGACTCACGATTATGCTGGACACCCGCCAATGGGTCCCATAAACAATGTTCCACCTATCGCTGATCAGGATCAATACATGCGCGGTCAACACATGCCTGTGGAGCACGGGCATCAGGGTTCGCCGATAATCACGAGCACGCAACCGATGTCGGGCCATCAGATGCCCACGGGATTCGTGCAGCAAACACCGAAAGCACCGTTGGCGAATCAATCCTGGAAAAGCAACGAGCCGCGTCGCCCAAAGACGTACAATTGCACTGCGTGCAACAAGTGGTTTACAAGCTCAGGACATCTGAAGAGGCATTATAATACTACGCTACACAAGAACGCTGTCAAAAATGGAAAGGAGCCTGATCCAGCAACTTTGCCGATCACTGCTCATCATCATCCTACTAGAGAGAATAACGCTGGTCATTCGACGAGCGGCAGAGGCAGCGGCGCTCCCGCGCGTTCTCCACCGGAGCTATCTTCACGGAGTCCCCCAAACTTGATGGCAGGTCCCTCGGGCGAGGCGACGGGGGGCCTGCTTCACACGCCCACCACGCTCTGCAACAATTCCAACAGCAGCAACAGCAGCAACGAATCTTTAGTAGTCCTGGTGCAGCAGCAGCAGCAGCAGCAGCAGCAGCAGCAGCAGCAACCCCACCTGGTTCATGTGGGAATCAATTCCCCGGTGTCGCCGCTAGTGGGACACCATCAGCAACAAATGGGTACTGCGCCTCAGCAACTGGGCCTCCAGCAGCAGCAACAGCAGCCCCACCTGCCAACGGGTTCGTCGGGCCAGCCGGTGCATCATTCCACGACTTCGCCCATGCCCCCGCCGGTGGCATCGCACATGAATTGTCCTTCGCCAATGGCCTTATCATCCCACCCGGTTCATCACATGAACTCGCCGCCCGGGTCGGTCCATCCGGCAATGACTTCGCCCACAGCGATGGAGGGTACTACGATGCCTCATCAGCAGTACCCAAACGCCTTGCCCCCCCACGTTACAGTTACTACCAACCCGGTGGCCCCGCTGTCTATCCAAGCGGCTACCATGCAGCTACATACTACTGGTAACGAGCAAGACGAGCGGCCACAACACCGCTCGTTGCCCGATTTTAGAACTATCGCGCCGGTTTACACTGAATTACAGCTCGTAGATCAAAACCAGATACAAGTCTTTAACGTGGGGGGGCTAAAGGAGGAGATCATTCCTCAAGAGTCCTTTGAATCTTCAGTACCGACCTATGACTTATATCAGTCGATGCGTTACAAGACGTTGACCGATGAAATGATGACGTTGCAGATAAATCCAAACGGCATAATGCAAGGTCAAGAATATCTCTGCCAGAACTTTCAGAAAATTAATATCGAGTATAACAATAATATAGTGTACGTGGGACAGGCGAAGGAAGATTTGGACCCGAATGTCGGTGTGCCAATCAAGAAACAGCCAGTCAAGAAAAGTAAAGGTACCACAAACAAGCGCAAGGTTGTTCAAGTCAGGACTACCAATGCTAGATTTATATCTAAAGACGGCTGCCACATGTGCATCGACTGCAATAAGGCCTTTACCAAACCCTGTTACTTGACGCAGCATAACAAGAGCTTTCACTGTGGCGATAAGCCTGTTAAATGCACGCAATGCGGCAAACGGTTCTCGAACAATGAGCAGCATGATAAGCATCAAGGAATGCACTCGCAAGCGAGGAAGCACAAATGCGAAGAGTGCCCAAAGGTATTCGCTCACAAAACTGACCTCAAGCGACATAATTGCGTCCACACTGGTGATAGGCCGTTTACATGTGAGACTTGCGGCAAGGGATTTATCAGGCAGGACCACATGAAGAAACATCAGGACACACACAAAAGAAAAATGCAGATGAACGCCAATCGAAATGCGGCCCAGCGGTACAGAGAAATGCACAC